GCTACCTTTTACTAATATACGTGTCTAATAAGGGTATTCTACTCCGTATACTATATAGCCACTTTAGTATTAGCTCGATAAGTGTTTTATAGATACTTTTCGTATACTCGTCTTACCTCTTCCTTCGTGTGAATACTACTTAGAGCAAAGCTACTCTTAAGTTCTTTTATTACGTGGCGTAATATAAAGTGTCTATTTTATTTTTCCTTATCGTAGCCGGGATATCTCTTAATAGCTTTTTCGATAGCCTATTAATAAGTAGAGGTCTCCACGGTGGTTTTAAGTAGTTAATTAGCCTTATCGAGCGCCTTAATAAGGCGACCGAGCTTTTGATTCTAGGCTATAGTCTACTAATTCTCGATTTTAGCGAGGCGTATAAGCTCCTGCGTTAAGGGCACGATAGTATTATCGCCCTCGCCTTAGGAATACTACTCGCGTAGTTAATCCAGGGATTTAGGTATAATATACTTAGGACGGTTATCTAGCTAATTCTTTTAGTTAGGATCGAGTAGTGCCTAGACCTCTATCCCTTGCGTATACGACTGGATATAAAAGAGATTTAATCGGCCTATTACCACGTGGATTTAAGGCGCGGGATACCGAGCGCTTTAGCCGTGATCTTAAGCTTATTCGATATAGTATCGAGTAAGGGTTTAGCGAATAAAGGTTATTATTAGGAGAGAGAGCGTAGGAGGGCTCCGTAATACTATAAAAGTATAGAAAAATACACGTAGATAATAGATTAGCAGGAAGTTATTAGTTACTGCTACTACCCGGGCTTATGGCTATTAAATTAACGGGAGCGTGCTTATAGGGAGCGTTGATTTAGGAAATATATAATTATATTATCTATAAAAGAGAAAGAAAAAGGGGGCGGGTGTACGTGTCCTAAATATATCTACCACCTTCTAAGCGAGGATAGTGGGGCACCTCCAACTAATAGGAGAGCACTATACCGTGGCTCACGTGATAGAATATAACACCTTCTATATTCTATGCTCACGTTTTAGGTGAAACGGTGCCTGTGGATCCCTCGGAAAACTGCCAATCAGAGAGACAGTAGCAAACGTAGAAGGAAAGACCCCCTGGGCCACCTAAAATTAGCGTGCCTGCCAATGCCCCTGCCAATGCCCAGGGCTCTGTCGCTTGTGCTTGTGATCCTTGTCATCAGTCATCAGTCGTCAGTCATCATCATCCATGGCAATCTCGTCAAACTTCATCTCCAAAAGAAATCACCTTCCCTTTCCTCACACAAACAGGCACTTTTGCCTCCTGTGTTTCTTTCTGACACATCTTCCCAGCCAACCGAACAATCACCTGTAGACGTTTCTCCAAGCCGATTGCGGTCCTCCTTGGCCTTCATTGGCCCTCGCAGATCCGCTCTCGTACAGACGGCCCCGGCCATAAGGATGACGTGATGCCTTCCGCACCAGACGACCACTGCATCGGACATCACATGCAGGATAGACACTTCAAAGCTTTCAGATCTGGTTGTCGTGTTATTCGGACTGCTCGACTTCTGCGATCTCCGGGAACTGACCTTGAACCGGGAACCCGTGGATCTTGGACCCATTTGGCTCCCCAACCCAGCAAAGACTCGCTCTTGAGTGGCCTGGGCTCTCGGCTCTATAGCTGACGGATTCAGTTCCAACATTGGCAGGACCACGTGCCAAACTCTCTCACTTCCCGACCATGTCAACTATCGCTTCGATGCCAAGGCGGCTTCGGATAAATACCACGTGGACCTCATCTCCAACGTCGCAGCTCCGATACCACCCTCCGCCCGATTTGGCCGCCCACCAAGTTGCGCGAGCTGTCGAGAGTCTCGGGACTACGTCGGACCGTTATGCTGTGCCGGTCTTGACGTCTTACGAGAGAGCCTATCTGGAGGGCGGCTTAAGCAACGTGTGAGGACCGGGCCGGACAGAAGACGAGCTGACCACTCCAAATAACAGGTTCGTGATTGGTATAAATAGGTTGACTCGCTGTTTGACGGAGATTGCAAGGCTATATCCAGTCTTCAGATGGCCCGCACATTGGTCAGGGGTTGCTTGTCTCGACCACGAGGCCATGTAGATGATACCAGACTGCAGAGGCCGGACACTTTCTTCGAGACGTGAGTCTCGAGAACTGAGCTGTCGAGGTAAAACCCACAAACTTCACGAGTCACGCGCAGCGCACTTGTTTCAAAGATGGACCTCGAGAAATTACGGCTCCCCTTCGACCCCCCTCCCAGACAAGTAGGTGTAACCAGACTTCCCTTTGGATGACAGGCACTCGATTCTAGCCTAACCAATCCTGCAGCTGCGTGACTGCATCGCTCGCTTAGACGGTCGCAGACTGTCAGCCACCATGTCACCCTCGCCAGTCGCGAGTCGCGACTCGGCTTGCCCAACTTATCAGGCCACAAGGTGGTCGTAGCACGCTGCGCGTTGAGGCCTCTCCTTGCTGATGATGTACGGACCTTCCGACTGGAAATAGCAACTGCTGTTTGGCTAGCGCTTAGTTGGAGTGTTCGATGATCGATCTCTTCCTGCGTCGTGGCTTTTGGCAAGTTTCTTCCTTGAGAGGAGACACTAATGACGCAGGGTGACAGGGTCGTGATCGACAAACATATTCAAGTTGGTTTCCAGGTTGACTAGAGCTAACTACTTGTCTTTCAGGATCATTTTTACATGGCTTCCATCGCGTCTTAGTCTCCACGACTCCACGACGTCGACAAGGTGAAACTAGTTAGACATAAGCGGCTCGAGTCTCGGATAATGTCCAGATCGCAACCTAGAATGTTCCGTGAGGCACGTCTAAAACATTACGACCTATGCTGCAATCCAGCCGAATTCGTTATCAACTGCCGGTAGTCTCGGCCTTGCCGCAGGAGAGACGAAGAGGGTGTTCGGATTCCGCGCAATCAGCGCTCAGCATTCAGCGTTCAGCCCTCCTCCCGCACCCCTCAACCCCCCCAGTGACTGCGACCAGTTCTCAGTCCGATCCGTAGGCCAATCCTCCTTCCTTCGATTCGTACCTCCTGTTCCACGTGTAATCACCGCATCCCACCCTCCAAATGCCGGTGATGAGTGATGCTCGAGCTAGAATAAGACACTGACTCTTCCGATGCAGCCAATTAGAGAGCCAGGGGCTGCCTCAACAGACGGGGCAAAGCCCAAGTCACCTCATCTCGTGCATGTGAAAACAAGAGACAAACAATTTCCGAGCTTCAGTCGTCTGGTCGTCCCCCAGAAAATAGAGAAAGGCATCGGGTTCGGGAACAAAGAACATGGACACCTGATCCACCGACTTACACCGGCAGCAGGCTCCAGCACCTAATCTGAGGGCTGTGAGTCCTGACCTATTGGACGACTGATAATCATATAAGCGCCTTGAAAACGCCGACAACGGTCATTCTGCCTCTGTTAGATTGGCTTGTATGACGTTGAAACTGTCTCCCGAGTCCCGAGCCCTAAGCCCCAAGCCCCGTCATGCATGCAGGCGAGAGACAACGCGCCTCCTGCGAATCCCCGATTCATTCGGCCCAACACGCCGCCAGGTTGCCAGGATGCTGAAGTGAGAACAAAAGACCTGAGCCGAGGACGAAGCCCTTCATAAGTCAACAATAGCTTTGAATAATAGCTCCCAGGTTTTGTTTGCAGCATCCCTACCGAGTTTGCATCCACTGAGTGACGGACGAGACGAGAGGGATTGGCAACCCAAGGTTGTGTTCGATCGATATCACACTGCGGCCGGACGCGGACGTTCCAATCCACGCCCAAGCCCAATCAAGACAGCCCCCCCGGCCTCACGAACTTTCCCGTCATGAGGCCCAACTCCCTCCGAGAGAGGGTGTGGGGAGGTTGCGAGGTATTGGTTGCTTCTCCTGGTATTATGTCTTTTTCCGATCGTAGGACGCCTCTAGACCGTCCCACACATCATGACAAAGACGGAACTGGAGGCCCGTTCCTGCATCGTTTCACTGCCAAACTGGGCTCCCAGAAGTCAGATTCGATGGCTGTCCATGTGGTGGTAGCACCGGTTTTGGTCGGAGTGGTGTCCTCGCTGGGAAACCGGTGCCTGTCCGAGTACATGTGGCGTCGAGCACTGGATCCAAGATGCCGATCTGGGCGAGCTCCTGCGTGGACAACGGCTCCTGTCCATCAGGGCTCCTGGGTCTGTCCCTTTGTCTATATTAAAGACGACAACGTGTCGTGTGATGGAAGTTTCCAGTTGCACTTGCGGATTCTCATACCTCTTTAACCTACACAGGCCTCCCTCATAGATTTTCCCCACGTCCGTCTACCACCAGACGCCCGCCATCGTTCAACATGGCCAAGATGGATATCCTCGACTCGTACCCCGAGTACAAGGACACTAGCGTCCTCGACACCCTCCGCGTCACGGAATACGGCTACCTAGACCAAGACCAACAGGTCTACCTCGACTACACCGGCGCAGGGCTCGCAGCGAGATCGCAATATCAAGCACACGAGAACCGGCTTGCCAACGGCGCCTTTGGAAACCCACACTCGGCCAACCCGACGAGCGAAGCCGCCACGTCCCTCGTCGAACGTACCAGAACCCGGATCCTCGAACACCTCAACGCTTCGCCGGAAGAATACGCCGTCGTCTTCACGGCCAACGCCACAGGCGCCGCCCGTCTCGTGGCCGAATCGTACCCGTTCCGACGTCGCGCGCGGCTGGTCCTGACGCTGGACAACCACAACTCTGTCAACGGCGTGAGGGAGTTTGCTCACCGCCGCGGCGCCAAAGTGGTCTACGTCAACACGCAGGCGCCGGAACTGCGGGTGGATGAAGAGGACGTCATCGCGGCGCTCCGGGACCCCCACAGACGACGGAGGGGACAGAGCTGGAGGCGCTGCCTCAACATGAAGACCAAGGATCGTGGAGCGGGCGCGCAAGAGACGAGGAGAAACGGGCTGTTCGCGTTTCCGGCGCAGAGCAATTTCAGCGGCGTCCGGCATCCGTTGTCGTGGGTGCCGCTTGCGCAGGGGCGGGGGTACGACGTGCTCCTGGACGCGGCGGCGTTCCTCCCCACGGCGAAGCTGGACCTGTCTGCGGTGCAACCCGAGTTTGTGGTGATGAGCTGGTACAAGGTGATGGGCTACCCTACGGGGGTGGGGTGCCTGGTGGCGCGACGGGATGCGCTGGCGCGTCTCGCGCGGCCGTGGTTCTCGGGCGGGACGGTGCGGATGGCGACGGTGGGGAAGGGGATGGAGTGGCACGTCATGGCGGGGGACGAGGCGGCGTTCGAGGACGGCACGGTGAATTTCCTCTCGATCCCGGACGTCGCTGTCGGGTTGGATTTCCTGGCGGGGGTCGTGGGGATGGACGTGATCGCGACGAGGGTGCGATGCCTCACGGGATGGTTCTTGGAGCGGCTGGACCGGCTGGCGCACAGCGACGGGTCGCGCATGGCGAGGCTCTACGGGCCTACGGACGTCGAGGCCCGCGGGGGCACGGTGTGTTTCAACCTGCTGGATGCGCGCGGGCGGGTTGTCGACGACAGGCTCGTGGCGACCGAGTCGGCGGCGGCGGGGATCTCGTTGCGGACGGGGTGTTTCTGCAACCCGGGCGGGGGGGAGGCGGCGTTCGGGATCGACGAGGAGGCGGTGCGTCGCGTGCGGGCTTCCGGGGAGTGGTTGTTGCTCCAGCAGGAGAGGGGCATCTCGCTGCCTTTTATGCCGATACTAGGGGCGGTGCGGGTTTCGTTCGGGGTGGCGTCGACGACGAGGGACGTTGATCGGTTCTTCGACTTTGTGGAGACGACGTATCGGGATCGAGTGACGACTGCCGAGGGGCTGCCGCCGCGGCAGGGCTGCTGACCGGCGGAAGATATGAACGCGCATTTCGTTTCATTTGCCTATCGATGATACCATTTCTTTTTTCCTTTTTCCTTTTTTTTTTTACCTTCTTCTTCTTCTCGTCGTCATTTCAACGCTCGACTCTATGCTCGTGGCTCGCAAGTCTCTTCCTCGTGAACTCATCAACCCCAATGGACATCAAATGGATTCCCCCTTCCGCCACCCAATTCACCATGAAAAATGCAATTCAAGAAGAGGTCGTCGCTTCGGATTCGCCAAACTCCTTCCTCAACACGTCGAAATACAAATCGTCCCGCAGCGCCTTCCCCTGAAACATCTGGTCGTAAGGGAAAGGCGCCGTCTCGCCCGTCCTCACGTAGCCGCGCCGCAGATACCAATCGATCAGCTCGGTCCGTAACCAGATGACCCACATGACCATCCTCCTCGCCCGCCACGTCTCGCGGGCGTATTCCTCGGCGCGCGCCAGCACGCGGCGCCCGACGCCGCCGCCCTGCAGGGCCGGGTCGACGGCGAAGAGACCGAAATAGGCGGTGGGGCCCGCGGCGGCGGCGGCCGACGACGCCGACGGGTCGGGATGCTGGATCTGCACCTCGCAGCAGGCGACGAGGGCGGCGGAGTCCGGGTTGGTGGCCATGAGGACGACGCCGTCCGGGCGGGAGATCTTGGCGGCGAGGTCGGCGGGGGAGATGCGCTTGTCGTTGAGGTAGGCGGCTTCGTTGGTCCAGCCGGCGGGGGTGCGGTAGGCGGTGCGGATGAGGGGGAGGAGGAGGGGGACGTCGGCGGGGGTTGCTTCGCGGAAGGCAAGCGGGGGGGTGGACGAGGTGGTTGGCGTCGTGCTTCCCATTGTGGGGAGGGGTGTCGAAACGTGGTATATTTTATTGGTTTTGGACGGAATGGGACGGGGAGTGAGACCGAGACTGAGACTGAGCTTCTGGGGTGATTGGTTCAGGTCTTGATTCGGCGCAGATTGGGATTAAGAAGGGGAATGAATGGAGGACTGGAGTCTGGAGGGAGGTGGTGGTAAATGCATGTGGGCTGTGGCGATGTGGCTCGTCAATTATGAGTCTTTACTCGATATTTGAAACGAATCGTGGAAGTTTTCTGTCTCCCGTCTTCGGATCCGCGACGCCTAGGTCCCTAGACCTATCTGCCATCTTCGAACTGGCATCGGAGGAAAACCGGAGCTGGGTTTGTTCGATTCTATGGGGATTGGAAGCCAACGGTCGGTCGGTCGGTCCCTAGGGAGGGGCGCTAAGACTGTTCGGGGAGGTGGTTAAGGTCTGTAAGGTCTGTGGCAGCTAAGACCACAAGGGCGTAAAGAAGAGGTGAAAGGAGCAGTGGTGTCACTGTCAGTCTGTCTTGTCATTCCGGGATGATGCTGACGGTGGAGGGGTACGAGGATGAAAAGTTGAAAAGTTGACATGAAAAAAAGGGGGGGTTGCTTTATATTCCAAGTCGTATTTACGAGTACGAGTACCGGACCGAGCACGGAGATCGATCAGTCAGCATAGTTATAGCGGTTGTAGCGGGGACTGCGCTATAATTATAGAGGGTCCCGGAGCTTTCCGGAGCCACCGCCCACCGCCCACCGCCCACCGGTCCCGGACTCCCGGAGTCGGGACAATTTCGGCTTTCTCGGGACTGTACCAGAACGGTAAACCTGAATAGTCCAATCAAGTCTGCCTATCATTGCCAGATAAATCTGTTTGGGATACCTGTATGAATTCCGCTTAATGAGAAGACCCATCGAATGGAGTTTAGACAAGTGACAAGTCAGCGGCGTTGTGACTTGTCTAACGGCTTCACCTTCTGGGCTTCCACACAAGAAACGTCAACTAACATGCTATGACAGGGCCGGTTCTCGTAGACTGTAGTGTGTAGTCTTTTCCACCCCATCTCACCAGTCACCACATAAGAATAGTCTTCTCCGGAACACCCTCCTCCTCCGAGAGAATGCGAACCGTTCCCCGCGTATTCTCCAACTCGTCCGGCCTCAGCTCCGCCTCCAACGCAAAAGGCGACGGAACATGCCGCACCAAATTCCCCTTCGCCGTCTCCCTCTCCTTCCACTCCTCCCAAAACGCCGCCAACCCTTCCTCGGTGCCCTCCGCCCCGGTCGTCTCCACGTGGGCGAGGTAGTCCATCACGGCGTCGACATGCGCCGGATGCGGTCCCGACCCCCAGACATGCTCCACAATCACCGAGCCGAAGATGGCCGGGTTCCAGACGTACTTGCCCTGGATCTCATTCTCCGGCTGCCCCGCCTCCTCCTTCACGGCCATCGACCCTCCCGGGACCATCCCAATCAGGGGGCACAGTAACCTCATCATCGGGCCGTCTTGCGGCGCGCGCCGGGGACGTATCGACTCGTCCATGAGCCGCGACGCCACGAAATGGCCGAACCCGCCGATCCGGACGCGCCAACGGATCTGCATGTCCAGCGTCTTTCCGATCAGGAAAGCGTACGGCGCAAAGCCGAAATCATCCTCGCACACCGACACGCGCTCCATCCGGTCCGTGACCCCGAGGGCCCGGTTCAGCGGGTCGTCCGGCGCGTTGTACTTGATCGCCTGCTTCGTCTTCACGCGCGAGCGTCCCGGGGCGGGGACGACCGAGTGCTGCGGGTTCGTGACGTAGACGTCGACGGCGTGCTGGACGTCCCGGGGCGCGACGTCTTCGGGGCACAGGAAGTTGCCGGCCGGCGAGACGGCGTAGGCGAACAGGAACTCGGGGCCGAAACGCGGGAGGATGTGGCCCGGCTTGGCAAAGTTCAGGATGCACCGGTTCAGCTCCGAGGCCGTGTTCCCTCTGCGGCGACCGGCGCCGCACAAGGCGAGCCCGTGGCCGAAGGGCCGGTGCAGCTGGTAGCCCGCCCAAGCGAGGGGCGCCATCCACGACATGGCCTCGCCCGGGTCTTGGTAGCTCCAGCACAACGCTTCGATATCCTCGTCGTCTTCCGTAAAATGGAACCTCAACTTTCCTTCCTCGGCGTCGAGCACGATCTTGACCCAGATGAACTCGGGATACTCCCGGTCGGGCGGGAAGTAAGCCACGCGATAATGCCGGGAGGAAGGCCGGCGCTCCTCCGTCTCGTTGATGGAGCGGCAAAGGTGTTGGTGGAACGTCTTGTCCTCGTCGCGGCACCCGGCGGAGCAATAGAGGCCGTATTCGCAGGAAGCGCAGCTGGCGTCTTCCGTGGAGGCCCTCGGGCAGCGGATACAACTGTTCGGCCTGCTGCTGAGCTCGTACTTTTCCAGGTAGTGCCTGAAGCTCTTGTCCTGCGGGTGGCTCATGCGAAACATGCCCACGCTCTCCTGCAGATCCAGCATGTCGTTGCGGAACGTGATGGGGCCGGAGGGAAAGAGAATCAGTTCCATGCAGGTGGGATGGCATAGAGGTTGCGGGGTCTGAGGGACGACAAGTAACGAAACGTTAGAACTTGGGAGATGGTTTCTAAAGACAGGGAATCAAGACTGCAGTGCATACCTCATGTCCGATGCTGTGCCGGTATCGCAGGAATGCAAAGTCCCAAGGCGAGACCAGTCGACGGAATCGGTCCATTCTGTGGCTGACCATCGCTTCTGCGCTTCCCCGTCGAAGCATGCCAGACATCTTGACGGTTGCACGTACAGTGTAATACAATGCAATACAATACAATACGATACTTTTCTATCTCCTGTTTCTTGTTGTAGGTGTTACCGTGCTAGCAGGGGATACAACAGACAGATGATGGCTGGACGGTGTTGTGTGTGCTTGTGAGGAATAGGACGGCATGGACAACATGAAGCCAAGATGAGGATGGAAAAGGTCTAATCTTTCAAGAAGAAAGTAAATGACGGTAGTCGGCTTGTCGGTCAATCTTTCCAGAAGGGCAGCGCAACTTGACGTCCATCAGGAGTAGGGGACAAGGGGAAAGGGGAGTCGAGACGCAATGGACCATCCATAGAACCTTCCCTTTACTTACATTTTATTCATTGATTAAGGGGGGAAAGAGCCAGGACAAAGGAAGGAGCTCTAACCATTAACAATTAGCCAAGCCCAGTTTGAGTGGACAAACATGTAGGCAGTGAATGTAGGAGGATGAAGTCTGCCTCATACAACCGCATCAATAACAGCAACTTAGTCCTAAAGATAAATAGCAAGTTGATTTATTCGTTTGTTATTCAGTACCTGTAAATATATACAATGAAGAAAGACAGTAGATGCGCACCTAAAGCAAGCAGGTTGCCACCACTCTCAACGCGGGAATACTACAAACCCAGCAACCTGACCGTGTTCCTTGATTCGTCACATCTTATCACGCCTCATTTTAATAGAAAGTAATAGAAAGTGCATTGTACTTTCTCATCTTCTTGATCTTCCAATTCTGCCGTGTCAGACCTACTTCGCTACCCTCTCTCATACCCCTGAGCCCCTGAGCCCCTGAGCCCCTGAGCCCCTGAACAGTCAACCAAGAACTGACGTCTTACACGCAAATGATATACAATCGCTGCAGAAGCCCAACAGACACAAAAAAAAACCAATAGCTATACAGCAGCCCTCACTACTCTCCCTCAGGGGCCATTCTTCGCTTACATCCATCTCCCCATCCCCCATCCTCGTCCCAATCAACCACCGTGGCCTCCAGAGGATGAGCTGGTCCGTCTAGGAGCAGAACCCCAGCCAGGAGTCTTTGCTCCCTTCTGCTCAATTGTCAGCCGCAGCACCTTCGGCTTCTTGGAGCCAGCCGTCTCCTTCGTCTCAGGGTTGTCGGCCGTTTGAGTCTCGTCAGCCGTTTGGGGTTCATCGGCCTTCTGTGCTTCCTCCTGCGCGTCCGGAACAGGCCTCCTCCTTTTCCTTCCCTTTCCCGCCATCTTTGACCTCGCTAGCAACCTTGTCATCATGGATTTGGGCCTCTTTGGTGTCCGTGGGGTCGGTGGTGTCGGCAACGGCAGCGGTCTCGCGACTCTCGCCAGCAGTTGTGGTTGGGTCAGTTTCTGTCATTTCTCCGGCACCTGTAGTTCCACCAGTGTCTGTTTTCTTATGATTCTGGCTAGTGGCCGTGGTGTCGCCAGTGTTTGTGGTCTCGCTAGCGGTAGTGGTCTCGTTGGCGGCAGCTACTGTGGCCTCGACAGCGGCTGTGGTCTCACTGACACCAGCAGTCTCGCCAACAGTCCCGCCAACAGTCTCCCCAGCCTCCGTGGCTTCACTGGGCTTGGTTCGGCCCGTGTCCGTAACAGGAGCCCGAGGACGAGAAGGCTCAGGAGGACGCGAAGGCTCAGGGGGGTTCTGCTTCCCAACAACGACAGAACGTGGGCGAGTCTGCCCTACGGCTATGATCGGACCCCGGACAACCGTCATGTCTGTTCCGATGTCACCCTGCTGGGCCCCGTCCTGGCTTTTTTCTTGGGTGGAGGCGGTAGTACCCGGATAAAAAACATTCGCAGTGGAACCATGCGCCCCAGATGATCGCAGATATGGGTCGGAAGCCTGCAGGTTCCAGTGTTGAACATGATCCCAACCAAAAGCATTCGGATCCTGAAGCCACGGTTGATATGGGTTGAAATTCTGCTGTTGCTGATACTGAGGATACCAGAAAGGATTGCCAGCAAAAGCATTGGGATCCTGATATGCTGGTTGGTTTGAGTTGAAGGCCTGCTGTTGCTGATACTGAGAAAGATTCCCATCAAAAGCATTCGGATTCTGAGATGGCGGCAGATTTGGATTGAAAGCCTGGTGCGGCTGATACTGAGAAGGATTCCCAGCCATAACATTTGGGTCCTGAGGTGACGGTTGATGTATGTTGGAGGCGAATGCCTCCTGAGGAAGAGCAGGTGTCATTGGGGCATACGGCACCTGAGGCTGAGGACCTGGAACAGAACCATAAGACCCGCGAGAGAAAGGACCTGGAAAAGGACCATGAGGCTGTGGAGGTGAAGGGTCGAGGAGATGATCATATTGCCCCTGGTACGAAGGACCTGGATCGTGACCACACTGACCCTGGAAGGGAGGCCCCGGAACAGAACCATGAGGCTGCTGAGGCGAAGGGCCTGGAAAAGAGCCGTACACCCCACCAGAGGAAAAGAGATCGGGGCCAGGATCACGAGGCTGCTGAGGCGAAGGACCTGAATCATGACCATGAGGCCCCTGGAAAGAAGAAGGACCCGGAGCAGGTTCTTCTCGCGGCTCCAGAGACGAAGGACGCTCACGCACAGGAGGTAAAGGAGGATCCGTGTGCGGCCAGGACCACCTGGTACGCAAAGCCTCAGGCTCAGGGCTATCATACAGCTCCCGGGGAAAATGAGGAGCCGGACGCGGCCGCCTGGGCTGCGGACTGGAAATACTGGGCGTATCCTGCTCCCGGGGCCGAGAAGGAACCCGAATCAGCTGCTGGATCTGAGGATGGTCCATGATGGAAACACTGTGTTCCCGGTAATGAAGAGGTCCGGAAGGTGGCAGCTGCGGCCGAGGACCGCTTCCAGCGGAAGACTCTCGAGGAAAAGGAGAACCCGTCCTTGGTTCCGGGGACAAAGCAGGATGCACTTCACGACGAGCAGGCGACTCCCGAGGCAGAGGAGGACTCGTCGTTGGTTCCCGAGGAAAAGGAGGGCTCGTCCTTTGTTCCGGGGGCAAAGCAGGATCCACGTCAAGAGGGGCAGGCGGCTCCCGAGGCAAAGGAGGACTCATCGTTGGCTCCCGAGACCGAGGAGAACTCGTCCTTGGCTCCGGAGGCAAAGCAGACTCCACGTCACGACGAGCAGGCGACTCCCGAGACGAATCAGAACCCGTGCCAGGACGATCCGCCCCCTGGGTCACAGGAGTATGCGCGACAAAAGGACGTTGGTTCCGGCGAAGGTCGGAGACGCCCTTCCTCTTGTCCCTCTGGATGGAGGAAGGGTGACCCACGGCGTCCCAGGTAGATCCGTTCGCGTCTCGGATGTCGGGAGGTGTCAGAGGTCGAACTGGAGATGGACATGGAGGCTGCTGTGCTTGTGCTTCTTCGCCCCCCCCAACCGTCCTCGGAGGCACGTCTCGGGCCCCGATGCCCTGAGATAACCCCGTGGTCGGAGTAAGCGACACGGCTGGTAGTATAGCACGGCGGGTGCCCAGGTGCTGTCTCTCGACTGACAGTGTGTGATGCTGATGGACTTGCTGGGGTTGTTGAGGAGAAGCAACAACTTCGGCGGCAGACATTTGTCTCGTCGTCTCCCTCTCTTGTTCCCTCTGCTTCTCCTTCTCTCGTTCTCTCTCTCGTTCTCTTTCTCGTTCTCTCTCTCGTTCCCTCTCCTTTTCCCTCTCCTTTTCCCTCTCCTTTTCCCTCTCCTTTTCCCTCTCCTTTTCCCTCTCCTTTTCCCTCTCCTTTTCCCTCTCCCGCTCTCTCTCTCGTTCCATCTGCCACACTCTCTCCCTCTCCTTCTCCCTCTTTAGATCCTGCTCCCTCTCTTTCTTCCTCTCCCTCTCCCGCTGCACCTCCATATTTCGCTGCGCCTCGGCATTCGCCTCGAACCGACTCTTCAAACTCTCGCAAAGCGCCCTCACCCCTTCCACCGCCTGAGCAAGCGCCCCATTCTGCTCCTGGAAGCGCGCCTGCTGGGCTTTAAGTGCTTGCACAGCCTCCTGGCCCACCGTGTCCTTCCTCCCAGCCAAGTCCTTCACCGAGCGCGTGAAAACCTCGCTGGACTGCCGGCTGTGGCCGATGAACCGGTCCACGGCCTCCTGCATGCGCTGCTGGTCCTGCTTCGCCTTCTCCTGCTGCTCCCGCTGGAGCTTCAGGAGCTCGTTCCACTTGATCCTCTCGACGTCCTTCATCTTGTCGAGCGACTTGCTCACCGAGTTCATGTGCTCCTGCTGGGTCTGCATCAGGCGGTATATTATGTTCTCCGTCATCTGGGAATGTACGAAGAAGTCACTGACCGCGGTCTGCTCACTCTCCCCTGAGCGCAACCTGAGGTGGTCCGGGGCGGGAGCCTGAGCGGGAGCCGGAGCCTGAGCGGGAGCCGGAGCCTGAGCGGGAGCCGGAGCCTGAGCAGGAGCCGGAGCCTGAGCAGGAGCCGGAGCCTGAGCAGGAGCCGGAGCCTGAGTGGGACGTAGTGAGTAGGCTGGAGAGAGCTCCGCCTCGGGGAGCGGCTGGGCAGCCAGGGCCATCGATTCCTGGATCGCGGCCGCCTCGGCCTCCCGGTTATTTGTCGAGGAGGGGGCAGGGAATGGCCCGGGGTTCTCCTCGGTCGGGGTGGCCACACCGTCGTCATCGTCATCATCGTCGCGGTCGTCGTCACCACCACCACCAGATTTGAAGTAATGCTGCCCCCATCTCCTGAGACTGTCTTCTGGCGGGGGCAGGCCGGTAGCATAGTCTTTGCCCATCATGTCGGATAGGTGCTGGATGACGTCGCCCTGCGCCGTCGCGCGCCTTTCCAGAAGGCGGACGAAATTCCACCAGTCTTGTGTGTGCACGGGGTACTTTCCTGCGGCTTTGAGGATGTCGCAGTGCTCGTTGAACATGGAGACGTGCTCCCTGGTGACCTTCCGGGGCGGGCTGCCGTGGAGTACGATGACGCTGGGGTGAGAGATGATCACATCCTCCACCTTGGTCGGGCTCTGGGCGCCGCCGCGTTCGCCTCCTTGGGCCCCGGTTTCGGTTCCGGTTCCGGTTTCGGTGCGGACGGTCCGCATCCAGTGGTTGACCCAGCGCATCGAGGTGCCCTTGATGGAGTCGTATTTCATGGAGTAGTCCCTGAGGAACCCCAGCATATTACCTTGACTGTCTAGGTTGACGCCCGGTCGCAAGATCCAGTCCACTCCGAGATGGCGAGCAGCATAACAGGGAGATTCCTCCGCTCCGCAGCCATCCGTTGTCGAGGCCATGACGGGGACCACCTCGACGGGTTCCACGGAGTCCTTCGTGGTGGTGACTCCGAGCTTTTTCATGACGCGGCTCTTGGTATTGTTGAGCTTGAGTGCCATAACTTTTGGCCCGGAATACCGCTGTGGCTGCACGATGACGGGGTTGAAATGGTGGTGGCGGAAGTAGTCGAGCAGGAAACGAAAGTCACGAGCTGTCACGTCGACGACGTCCTGGATGGCGACGAGAGCCTCTTTCGCATCAGGACCTTTCCGTTTCGATGGTGTGGTTGTGGTACTGGCAGTCGTTGGCGGCTCCTTTATGGGGACTGGATTCCAGGCGTAGGCCAGGTAGGTTCCTTGCCAAATACACATTTGGCCTGGAGGGCCGAGAGAGTATATGCTCTTGTTGATGCTCTCGTCCGAGGAGGGGCAAGGGTGAATGCAGGCCAGAGTGATGGCATGTCCGACCTCCTGCCCCTGGACAGTGATGCCCATGTTCACGCACATTTGGCGGACAACCGGCTGTCCTGGTTCAGGGACAGAATCTACCGTGATTCTCCATTGCTCATCCACCTTGACCCAGATGGGCTCGGGGCTGATCTGATCAGGACGGAAGATGATGGCACGTCGGTGCCGGTGAGAAGGCCGACGCCGCAAAGGGAGTTCGACCAGCCGTCCACAGATCTTCGAATGGTCGCTGGCATCGTCCAGTTTGCAGCGTTGGCTACAGTAGATTGGCTCAAGACAGTGGCCGCAGGTTTGCTCTCGGCCGCGTTCCGGTATTACCACGGAGCAATAGGTACAGCGCGTCTGCTCTTGGACGGCGCACGATGAGCCGAGGTAGCCGCCATCATGGACGGGGATCTCGAAGGAAACAACCATCTGGGGCAAGGCGGAGTAAGTTGAGTCGTTGACGCGTCACAACCGTCATGCGAAAGACCGAATAAAAGGTAAACCTGATGATGCTTCAGTTGCCGCGTGTTAGCAGGTTCTGCTTTCTTTTTCACCACTTCATACCAGTGACACACTGACACCACAAACGCGTAAGTTGTAACCCCCCAAGGGAGATGGACTCACTGGTGGTGTCTCTAAACCTGCTGTCTGCAAAGAAGGTGGTCAGGCTCTGATCTCAGAGACTCCCAAGACGCGGCTTCGGTTCGCCAACTCAGTTCGAGCCTCGGGTTTTCTGATATTTCGAGTCTTGTCAGCAAAACCATATAAACCATATACACTAGATTCAACACAATCTAGAGCTCACCTCTCTGCTAGCCAAAGATATTCAAGAAAAGATGAGGGGTAGGATGTGGCCATGTGGGCAATATAGAATACGGGTTGGGCGGAATCAGAGTAGGATACAGGACTGCAAAGCGAAGTGGGCTTTAGTCTTATTTGTATTTGTTTTTCTTTCTTGTTTAAGGTACCGTTTACCCAGGTACAATACAGAAGGTATACTGTCATGCTTAGTCGTCGACACCTGTTCCTTCCTCACGGATCGTGAACTTTATTCTCAAGGGACCAGGAGGTCCTTCCCCTTCCTGTCAAGCATCGTGAAGGGAGGAGCGTGTGTTCAGTGGCCTGTGTTCCGTGTTAGTCATCTGTCGAGTCACCACCCAGCCCGTTAATAGACCCTTCCTTTCAGGGTATAGAAGATGTATATTCGTATATTCAGGGATACATGATCAGAAACAAGTCAAGAGTCAGGATAATGTAATTTCTTTCTAGAAAGTACTCCCTTTGATGGCTGCTAGTAAAGTAGTCTTGTAAACTTGGCCTATTATATAATATATTATCAAGTTATCTTACTATGCTCTTATAAGATGGTTAAAAGAATTAGAAGCTTATATCCAAAACTCGCGGCATAGAGAAAACCACAACTACACCAACACGCCTCATCATAACTGTTGATTATAAGAGGCATTATACTGTGTAGCACACACGTACTAAATTGCATCAGCTAGGCATCTTCATAAGACAAAACATCCGACCATCTATCCACCCTAGTTGCCAACTCGGGAATCCGATTTGAAACAATAGGGGCAGGCCACCTCATCACCGTGACCCATAACCTTCAGATCGCCAGACCGACATCAATAACAGCTTCTTGTCATCAATATCGTGAATATACTCGCCTTTGTATTACTAATAGTTATATACTCGTAATCGCGGACCCAAGTTGACTTCAAATAACCCATCATTGGCCCACTTCGGACGGTAGTTCGACCCAAATGCATCCCACGCTCCGTGTCTAACCATTTCAGCAAAGTAACAATACTTGCACCAGAGCAGCCTGCCGCATTCACCACGCTCGTCAAAGAGAAGAAGAAGAAAGAAACAAAAAAAGAGGAGAGAGAGAGAGAGAGAGAGAGAGAGAGAGAGAGAGAGAGAGAGAGAGAGGCGTCATCTGAAGGTCCGCTAAATTTTGTCTCAGTCTGCACATCCGACTCATCGCTAAAGCCTCCTACCAGACCTGTCCATGGCGTTCCAGAAACCAGGAACTAGGATGCTACTATTGAAACCGCGCCTTGGTCTTCCTCCGCAGATCGCCTAGGCCGAATAGTTCAAAACGCGCTGCCGCCTCCTCCCAGTTTGAGTTGGGGTATCTCATTCCTCATGAAACCAAGCATAACTGAAGAACCGGAGCCAAACCGGGGCGATTCCATCTAGGACCCTGCCAACCCAAACAAGAAAGAAATAATAATGAAACCAAAAAAGAATGACCGTCCGTAACACCCTGCCCAGAACCAGTGACGCAAACAAACAAATAAACGTGCCTTGAAACCCATAAGAGAGGAGGGGAAAGAGAGTAGACGTCCTCCCTTCTGCTTCGTCGCCAATGTGGCTCATCTCATGCCACGCTAAGCGAACAAGCAAAGAATAGAAGCATCGAGTGGTATCGTGTAAATCAACGAGGGAGTGCCAACCCAGAAGAAGAAAAAACGTCGAAAGAAAAAGAAACAAAATTCTCGTGCCTGCAGTAACGTCGTGAGGAACATTAGAAGGAAAGTCGTTAACGCAGAAACAACCGTAGCCCGAGTCTCGTAGAGTCATGACGTGACCATGTATAATGCAAACTGAATGACATGTTATCCACAAGCTCGTGGCCAATTGGGAAGACAAAATAAGATAGAAGTCTATGCGAGACCTCTGGGGGAACCGACCCCCAACAGACCATGTCGAGAACCGGTAGCAGAGGGAGATGCGGTCGAGAACCGCGGATTAGAAAGAAAGTTCCTAGTAGGCCGCCGCCGTGCTTCCTTCGCTGGCAGCGACCGCCACCAGAGCGTCGAACCGGGAGGAACCGGCGTTGGGAGGTCGGTCCCCTGCCTGCTGTAAATTCGAATTGCTGCTATGTTGCTGGCTGGGCGCCTGGGCTTCCCTCCGCCCATCCCGGCCAGGGAATCCCCCGAACGCGGTTATGTTAGGGTGCATAATACGGTCGACATGCGAGCCCTGCAACCCCCGACCATCCTGCCCTTGCTCGGCCGACGCTTGCCCAGGTCCGTTGATGGGCCCGTGGTACCAGCCATGGCGCTTGGCGTCCCGCGGCGTCGAGATGGACGGCGCAGACATGGTGTACTGGTGATTCCGAGCAAACGTGCCCTGCCCGGCATTCGAATTCGGTTGGACCGCATAGGCCGGATGGGTCGGATGGGCCGGACGAGCCGGACGCGGGTCGAGCTCGAATCGGACCGTAGGTGCGTTGGCGCGTGCTCGCTCGGCTTGGGCCTGGACAGCCTGATCCGCTTCGTTCGCCCAATGGCTAGCGCTATCGCGGGGAGGGGAGACATTGCTGGACCGCAGATCGAGTCTCGTCAGCCCCCGGCGCAGGCCCATATCCCAATGGGGCACGTTGCGTCGCTCGTCGGCAGCGGGGTCGGTGCCTGGGTGCAGAGCAGGTGGCGGGTGGCTCGGCTCCGAGTCAATCACCATGGGTGACGGGTTCCGTCGTGGAGGGGAGGCCGGACGCGGTGGAAGGGGATCAAACGACTCTATGCCGGGCAGGCGGATGGCCTGCGGGATTTTCGACGCATTGGCCGTCGGCAGTTGTGGCGCTGCGGGCTGATACGGCGCGGTCACGGTGTTCCCCGGGTAGCTGCTGGTGGTGGGTTGGAACCCTCGGCTCTCGGGGTGCCAGGTGCGTCTCTTCCAGACTTCATCGGCCACCGACGTCGACGAGTCTCTGCGGCCAGACCAGGATGACAAAGGGGTAGGCGGGGATCCGAGGACGCTGCTTGTGGCGGGCGAGAAAGCACCCGAGTTGGAGCTGTTCATCGCCCCTGGGCCGAAGACGGATCGATTCATCGGGGCGCCGTGAGGGGTCTGGAAAGGATGTCCCCCCGCCGACGGTACGCTGAGACGACGACCAGGCGTCCGAGGCTCAACCGAGTACATGCTCTGAGATCGCGAGTGCGACGTGGTGGGCGATACGATGGCTGATCCCCAGCGAGGACTACTCTGGCCGGTCGAGAAAGTGGCCGAAGTCGGGGTGCTGTAGTCAGTTGGCGACACGGGCCGGAACATGTAGCTCCCGTCGGCAGGGCGATGGTGTCCTCCTTCCAATCCCGGACCTGGGCCCGGACGAGCGCGGGGATCTGCCATGACCAGGGGGGGCGGCCGTCGCCGAAGATCGTCGCGACTACTGGCAAAGGAGCCCACAGAGCTCACGCTTCCGACGCTCGACGTGGACAGCGATTTCGAATGGCCACGGACGCCAGTTCCACTGCCGGCCGTGGGTGGCCGGGGCCTTCCTCCAATCTGCCTCACTCGGTCGGTCCGGATTTGACGTTGGAATCGAGCCCCGGTGGCTGCCAGCGAGTCGATAGGGATGTCTTCGTTCACGTGTACGGTCTGGGCGTGTTGTCTCAGGTTGTCAAGCCGGGAGAAGCGACGTGAGCAATGGCACTGAAACGGTCTCTCGCCGGTATGTTTTCTATTCTCAGTCAGCCTCGAAGTCGAGAAGGAGGAAGACAAAAGAGAGGGAAAAGTGAAAGAAAAGAGGGAAAAAAAGAAGGAAAAAAAAAGGGGGAAGAATGACCCACCGAATATGTCGAGCCAAATGCTCGCTCCTGGTGAAACTGAGGTTGCAAGGCGGGTAATCAGTGCAGTAAAACCGCTGTGACTTCTTCTTTTTACCCGATTTCGAGCCATCCCCGTTGGCGCTTTCACCCTCCGACACGGCGCCCTCATCACCGGGAGCCGTTTCGCCATCCGAATCTTCCATGTCGCCACCCGTGGTGTTCAGCGACTTCTTAGCGTGTTTGGCGGATTTGTCAGCGGCATCCGATAACTGTACCGTGTCGGGAAACGGAGATGACGGCAGAGGTTTTTGGGAGGCGAGCGCGTCACTAGCAAAGGAAGCCCGGGTGGGCGTGGTTGGGTCGTCGGCGAGGAGAGGTTGCGAATCCCGCGATAGAGACGTGGCGCTCGAACGCGGGGTGGCTGGGGATGTGGTCGTGGTATCCTCGCTCTTGGCATCGGCAGCAAGTCGTGTGTTGACCGGCCTGAATGTCGCAGCCATGGTCACGGAATTTGGCATGGCAAGGAAAGGACTGAGGATGGGCGGAGTTGGGGAAGTCTCAGAAAGGGATGCCCAAATGCCCACTCGTCGATAGATGGGGCCAGCGGTATGGACAGAGCCGACACCCTGCAACAAAGCGGTGGGAGCAGTTGTGACAGGAGAGAGAGAGAGAGAGAGAGGGAACGACAGATACGACGAGAGACCGGAAGCAGAACGCGGGGTGGCGGCGACGGTCAGGAACAATGCGTACTGCCTAGAGGCCGATGGTGAGAGCGAGATGCAAGTCGGGAAGGGAAATGAGGAGAGATGAGTCGACCCGTGCTCTCAAGTCATTCGGAAAACAACGACGATAGTCGAACTTTCGCAAGGCTGGCTGTTTCCGACCGGAGTGATTTGGGTGGATTAACGGCGGGATGATGATGGAGGGAAGGAATGACGACTCGGAACCATCAAAAACCAGGCAGATTCGATCGAGTAAGCGAGGACGACAAGTAGGTAGGTAGCGCGGCTGGGCTGGGAGGGCTGCGGGTGGATAAGCGTTGAATGGGTAGATCAAAATGTGTGTGTCGGCCGAAGCAAGGATGGATGCAGTGCGTGAAAATCTGGTTGGTCTTGTGCTTTTCCCTCGGTCCTGTTCCTGGTCATCAGGTGGGGGGAGGGGTAAAGCCGTCTTTTTCGTTTTCTTCGCAACTGTTGCGCCGTGTGGTGTGTGGCCGAAGCGTAGGTAATTATTACTTTGTACGGAGTTGTAGGAGATGGATTCCAGGTCGTAGCGGAAGATCGAAGCCCGTGAAACAAACACGGGAGACGCGGGATATACAAAGTGTACTATATTAGGTAGGTAATATCTCGACACTTTTTTTGATGGGTAAAATGACTGGTAAATCGGAAATGCGAGATGCGAAATGAGAAATAGGTGATAAGGTGATCAGAGGAGAGCGGAGGAAGTTCAACAAAGGTTAAAGTGTTAAGTGATGACAGGAACAGGTTGGGGGATGGAGGCTGCAGGATAGAAATGCAAAAAAAAGAGCCAGAGTCAGGGGGACGAAAGGGGGGGAACGACAAGTGCAACCCGTGGAGGGGGGAGGGGTGAAGAGAAGGCAGGGAGGGAAGAAGAACGATGGGTGGGGAGTGAAACGGACACCTTCGTACATGCAGCAACCACCTGCGAGAGGGAAAAAGGGGGGGGGGGGGGGGGGGGGGGGGGGGGTGTGAGAAGTGAGAAGGCACGAAAAAGGTAGGAATTAGGACCTTGGAAGGAGGGGTGGCAACTCTTTCCCCCAAGGACTATGGAGTAGGTAGGTAAGGTAGGTATGGACTAAGGACAGAGCGATGATGAAATAAACTCCCTTCCCCGACATGTCTGGCCCTGTCTCCAAAACTCCTTCCGCCTTCCACCTTTGCTCAACCCCTCATAGATACGTATATCACCGGGTAGTCGATGTACATCTGGGGTCCAAGGAGAGACCCTGGTCCGTACCTACCCAAGGGTACCTGGCACCGTGTACCCTTTTACCTTTCTCAGCGTAAGTTTCCCCTTAGATCGAGCCCCGTACCTATGTTACCCCTTACACCTCTCCCACCTCGATGCTTTTCACCTTTCCCAGTCGTTGGTTAGCCTTCGCAAGGTTACCTACCTGGACACATATACGAAGCAGAAGCAGTAGGTATTTACCTTAGCGTATCGACCAGCGACAGCGGGCCCAACCTGGACGAGTCAGAGACAAAAGGCCTGGGACGGTCCAGTCCCTTGCAAGGCTCCCCTCTGCCCGATGCTGCCGGAGGTGCTGCACATGGTGTACGGAAGTACTTCGTAGTACTTTGGACGGCGTACAACGTATGGTGTGTTACCGCCAGCCACTTCCAGCCCTTGGAAGTGGGGGATCGCCCTCAGAACAAGGCGACTTTGCCTTCAGCTCGAGGCGCTCCTCCATCACTAGGTAGCTTTCATGATCCATTTTAAACTCTTGACCTACTTGCGTTTGGACCGGTGCGGTTGCGGCAACGAGGGACCCATTCTGGGCCCGCACCCCGATGTGATCGTCGGTGAGATAGCGGGCGAGCGAGGCGATTGAATCGTTCGTGATGGCTTCGCTTCTTCCTTTCGGCGATATGCCCTGTTTGGTGCTTCACATACTGGGTATGCGTATAGTCTGAACTGGGGCTATTGATGGGAGAATAAAAAGCAACAAGACAAAGACAAACCAGCATCCTTCCTTCCTTTTTTTTTTTTTTTTTCCTGTTTCGCTTTTTAAAAAGACTAGAAACAGCAAAGCCAAAAGATCCAAAAGAAAAGACGAGAAATAAGAGGAGGGCAATAAGGGAAGAAAAGAAACGAAACTTAAGGTCGCAAAGTCGAGGGCGTGGCAGCCGACAAGCGATGCTCGCATCTCGCGATTCTGAGCGACCGGGTTTTGTCAAATAAAGCGTAGTCAAAATCGTCACAAAACAGGTCAAAATTGATTGAGGTAATTGTGTATAATTGTAACTGTCTTAGACCGTTAGGGAAACGCTGCCACCGTATTTTATATAGTGTAGATTCTGTAAGCGTCTACCCGGATTATACTCTTGGTAATCCGGCCTATTACGTAATCAAAAAGACTATAGTCTATTCGATACACCCCCTAATCGCCCTAAACGTTAGTTAGGCGATTAAAGCTATTCGTAATCGGCAGATAATCTAGCTATATAATCTATTCGCTATAGCCGCCCTTAAATTCGTCCTCTAGGTCTTCTAAATATTCTATCCGGACTTCCTCTAGCTATTTCTGCTATAACCGTTCCCGTATATCTATCACGCCCACCTAGGACCTAAATATCTTAAATTTCTCGCCGTATAGCGCCTTCGTTAATCCGTCTACTACTATTTCCGCGCTCGTAATGTACGTTATAAGTATTTACCCTTATTCCTTTACTTAATGTAATTAGTGGCTATGGATATCGATATAGCGGAGGCGCGTTATTAACGTGCTAATCTCCTAATTAACTAATCGAATCGTTTAGTTATTATCGTATAAGATCCTTAATTCCAGATCGTTAAATTCCACTCCTATACTAAGTAATAGGCGTTATATAAAGATACCCTCTTTTATACTATAACCGCGCAGATGCGGCGTTGGAGTGGTTCGGCAGACGGTCATATAACCCCCCTTTCAAGGCCGCTGGATCCGCTGCTTATATATATATTAAGGATAGGCTCGGGACGTCCCTATCAAGGGATAAAGATATAATTATCATCCTCTTTTGCAATTGCTTATTCTACGTTTAAGGTATCTTTCCAGTTTAACTTACGTTACCCTAATCAGAATAGTGACTACCGATCTACTTCTTCGCTAAAGGTTATAGCGGTATTAGTTATATTTTGGTTATATATCGTGGTCTTACTAGACTAACCTCTTTATCTAATCTTTATCTTAACGATCTGGTGCCACTACGTCTTTATCCAGTTATAATATAGTGCCCGGAGGCGGATTTATTCGGCGTCTCTAAAGTGTTTTAACCCTAATTAGAGTAATAAAGGCGCTCGAGGGAGGTTCCGGCCCTCCTAAACGGACTATTAGTTAATAACCTCAGGAAGAATATAAAGATAACGACTAAGGAAGGATTTAACGCTTTAAGACTAAGGGGAGATTTACCCTAATAAGATTAGGAAAAGAAATAACTACTTAGGTAAGAGTTAAAGAACTATTAATACTTTCAATTATAAGACCCGCCGCTATAGAGGTGGTAATTACAGGAACGGAAAAAACCGATTAGATCGCGATAGAGTTAGATTCCGGATATAGAATAGACTCGATAAGGGGCTCATAACTCCTACCACCAATTAAAACAGATTCTCGCACGACGGCGAAGAAAAGATAAGACCGCTAAGAGCAGCTTACCCGGATTAGGGTAACTAAACCCTAGTAGACCTAATAAAAAGCTAATACTAAGCGTAGGAGCGAAATAACGATAACTTATAAGAGGACCCGATAGTCTAGTAAGGACCTTTATAGACCTCGTAAGCAGGTCGTGATACTTTTTCACGAGGCTTAGCGGGTAATACTTTTAATATTAATATCCGTAAGTATAGCCCTTTTACTAATAGGCAATCTCCTAATCGTGGGGGGCCTTCTCTTTTAAGGTGAGTTAGAAAAGCTAGACCCCGAACATAAGTATCACGGAGTGAAATCTAGGACCACCACCACCCTCTTATCAGAGACCTTATTACTCTTATTAAGATAAGATAATATATATAGTAACCTGGCTAGTATCTAAAACACTTATAGGATCTTCTTACTAGACGATTAGTTCGAAGAACCTTACCCTAAACGCACTAACCCTATTATTATTATTCGCCTACCCCCTCGCACTTACACCTAAAATACTATAGATACTTAGAATTAGTATCGCGAGCCTACCCCCGTTATCGTTATTAGCGACTCCGACGATAAGGCTCCCTCGCCGGCTATTCCCCCTATTCTTACGCCCGCTACTTCTACTGCCCCTAATTAGGGGAACCACGATATCGGGACTACGGCCTTACCTCCGCCCGTTTCTAGGCTAACTACTACGTTTACCGCGGCTCCGACTACTATTTCGATAACTACCCCTATTACTACCCCCGGATTAGCCTTTAGATCTGCCCCTACCTATAGATCGACTACTACCCCTGCCTACCCTGTTTTTACTACCTAGCCCGCTTTAAACGCTCCTACTACCGCCGCCCCTAAGCGTTAATAGCCCCCTACTACCGCTAAAGACCTAATTAAGCTACTATAAGCCCTGATAAGCCGTGACCGAGAGAGTATTATCGCCGAGGTCGTTAAAGCCCTGCCCCTTATTACCGCTATATCGAGAGCACCCCTAAATCCCCTCGCTATTAGAGCTCCCCGCTTTAATAGTAAGTCCCTCTCTATATTCCTTTAGCAGTATAATAACTACACTAAGCTTAACCGCCTTAGTAAAGCCGATAAGATTACCTACGTTAACCTATACACGGATACGGCTATTCGTCCCGCTATCGAACGTCTAGTTAGAGAGGTTTAAGCCGATAAGGGCGGTTAGTCTAATCTGGTTAAGAAGCTCGTTAAAGAGTTCTCTTATCTAGATCCTAACTACTAACTTAACTTCTCTTACGAGGTTTATTAGCTTCGGGTAAAGTATAAGACGTATAAGATTAATAGCGTTTATTAGGTTAGGGACTTACTATAGTAAATCACTATCTAGAAGGCTAAGGCCGAGCGGGTTTAAGGCACTTTTATCGAAGACTCCGAGCTCTACGGTATTATCCTTACTATT